AGGTTCATCCTCCAGAGCATGTTCAATATTGCATAACTCTTTCAAGATCATACATATGCGGTAGCACATAAACAGTTTTAGCTAATAAAACATCGTTTGTAATGAGCGTGGCGTAGATCTGGCGGATAACTGATGCTAGATGCATCTAGCATTGCTAGTGCGCCAGCAATAAGCACTCATGACCTGATTCAATAACCCCTGGGCTGAAACTTGGTCTGGGAAGAGTAATATCCCCATTTGATAACACACTGGTCAACGTGCAAATTCCGGTGCCTATGCGGCATAAATGCAGGCTTTGTACAGAGCATGTAAACTCAACAGACTTTAGCCAGTACCGTATGAAACGAAGACTGGATGGCTGTGGTAGGACCGCCCTGGTTGGCTATAAAGCGAAGCTGCCAGCGGCAGTTCCTTTTCAGTGCTCTGACAACGCTTGCAAACATTCGTAGTGAAGTTCCCCCTCCCCCTCCCACCGTTGCCTTCATGAATACGGCCCAAATTCATATTACGAGATACACGGAGAAAAAAGCTTGTTCGCACAGTCCAATCGACCGATTATGCAACAGTAGAACGCCGTTTTCGCCAGAAGAAGCAGTTCGTTGGACGTGCGGTAGTACCGCTGACAATGAGGAACCCCACTAATCAACAGCAGATCAGCTGAGAACTGCGGAATCAAGTTGTCACCGATCTGATACTTTTCTGGGTCACGTAACCGAAAATTCCTTACCTAGCTGTTCAATAACTGGTCTGAAATCCAAATTGTGGAATACTTTGAAAAGTCTGAACATCAAAGGCAGCAAAATTCTCCAGTACTCCATATGACTGTCGTTGAATTGACAGACTATGACACTCCCGGTAGTAGTTTCGTCTGCCTGTTTTAGTATCATTTATCTGCAATATAACTTGTACTTCTACTTTCTTTGTTTAAGCTCAAAAGTAAGATTCTTTTTCGATCTTGTTTAAATACAAGTATGTTACAAATTTTTAATTAAAAGTACTCCAAAACTGTACTCTGGAAAATTCAGATCGATAACGGGAAGTCAGCGACGACGACGAATTGGTGACATCGGAAAATGGACAAAAATGAACATAAGCTACATGGCGTGAAACAAAAAGCTGGCAAATGGAAATTGGAATAGTATATGTATCATTTTTGCTGCGTCCATAATTAAGCAGGCAATCTTTAATGAAAATCTCAAGTTCCTTCTGAGAATATTTTCTGGGAAAAACTGCTAGTGCTAGTGCCCTTTCAGATGAGTTGAACTGCTAGGGCAGCATCGATGAGGTACGATTCTTATCTCTTTACAATACCCATGCTCTTCAATCGTTACCTGTAGGTCGATGCTAGTAATCAATCTAGCAAAAGCGTGAAGGATGAGCTTCAAACAACTGTGCTAGTGACGTCTAAGCATTTTCCAACTGCATAATTTTATTTCTGCTATATATTTAGCACATTTCATGTGTATTATTTGTTACTGCTGCTTGATAGAAGCGCTGACAATTGCAATTGAAATTGTGCAGTAACTACAGTGAACAACATTACTTATAGTAATAATACAGATATGCTGTAAAAACCTTACCTTGAAAACATGGTTTGTTCATTTTTGCCATTCTAGGACAGTAGCGGCGCTCGGAATAACCCGAAATATGAACTTCAAGTGGCACAGGTCTCACGGATGGTTCAAAATTAAACAGTCCGAACTAAGCAAACAACTATGTCACAACGCTTTGCCTGGCAATAACCACCGTCATCAAATACCTCCTTAATGCCCAGCCATAACGCAAGATCGTCCGCATTGGCTAAAGCGGTTGAAAGACCAATGATGCGCAAATTTAAATTTGTAGCGGCCGAAATGAAATTCGTCCTGGAAACGATCACCTCCAACACTGGACCTCGCTCTTCACCTGACAAAAAACCACAGATCAGCAAGCAACTTTCGCTCAAGAACACATGTACCTGTATACAAATAAAAAGAAACAATGACTATTCGCCTGACTAAAATGAATATGGATAAAAATCACTGAGAGTTACAATATTAAAACGTTTTAATCAACTGTTTTTTACTGCTCTAGGCCCCATAAGAAAGGATCACGCGAAGGACAATTTTCACATATTCATCTGGCGCTAGCCCAAAGCCGTTTGCGTGATAACTAGCGGCACAACACTTATAGAATGCCCCTACGAGAAGAAAGCTGATTTCCGTGAGAATTCTAGATTACTGCAATGACGCTGCAGACATCATACCCCACTTTGAAGAAAATTCACGAAACACAGATCAGTGAGTGGCCTATCAGCGCGATAGGCCTTTCAGACTAAGCTATGTTTAAAAACAGACTTGGATTGCAAAAAGACCGTCACTGATTCTGTCCATTTCACAATAAACTACAGCGAGAGAAAAGCGACTACGGTCTAAGGGTAATCATTTGGCAACAGGACTGAGAAATCACTTCACCAAGTCAGAAACTGTCAATATGGACAGTTGTTAAATTGAGATATTAGATGACAGTGACAAGAACAATTACGTAGTCTTAGTTTCACAATTAGATGATGAAATAAGCAGTCACTTGACGCGGAGTGAATGAATCGCGAGTCGAGCAAAACAGATCTGGTCGTAGCAGTGTTACAGCTTCAGAAACGAAGCAACAGAATGTGAGCCGAAAAGAATTTATGTATTTTCACGAAAGTTCATTTCAGTGCAATATTGTTGTTAGGCAAATATTGCGAGAAGTACCGCAGAACAAACTTGCTCTCTACGAACGGAAAGGTACTTTCGATAGTTGACTTAGTGCGAATACGGTAGACTAAAAAATATCAAATAACGACAGAAAAATACCTGAAACTTTTGCCAATGCATGTCGATTAAAGATTATTTACCCTACTGATTCGACGATTAGCGATAAGAAGTGGTAATAGATAAAACGTTGCTAATAATAATAATAATTTCAACGTTACGGTCAGTCGCGCATCTGTAGATGTGTTTCGATATCCCTTGATTATCTTCGATGTTCGGTCGACCGACACATTGGTCTCGCAAGTAAACTTTTATCAACGACTTTGTGTCGTTAACTATGCATTCGGAAATGAGGATCATTTTTAAGATGGAACAAGGTACGAAGAAACCACATGAACCGAACATGCTTCACTCCATGCCGGATCACACAGCAATGACGATGGTATAAGTATTATAAACGATTGATTCAGCCAGTCCAATATACAGTTACTGCAGTAATCGTACAGCTAAGGTAAGTGGATATACTTCTAACAGACTCCAGATAAAAAACGGAATCCCAAAGACGACACGTTCATTTTTGCTCTTTGGAAGTTTAAAAACCGCGCTGCATGATGCTAGGCCGGAAGCGAAGCTCAAGATATTCAGTGAAGCATCGCAGTGATTTGGACCACGTTGAAGATCTGGTCGCAGAGAATGATAATGGTGAAGATTCAATCTTCTCCGTGAATGGCGAGGTCACTTGATGAACGCTGAACATTGCATGGACAACGATGATCAAAAATTCCGTTATAGTTGTGATGTTACCTCTGACCAATGGCCAACCCATCAGCTGGCATAAAACGATGGACTCATTGTCAATGACGAACATTTGTTCTCCATAAGCAGTAAATATATGGTAAGTTGAAAACGCTAATCGTTGAATAAAGCTGACATTACAGACTGAACGTACACAATAAAGGGGCTTAAGGGTGACAAAGCTTATGAAAATTCCAGACACCTTCTCTTCAAAACCGCTCATTCTTCAGATCAAAAATCACATAAAAAACAGCGAGACCTTGCGTTCCAGAAGCCTGGGAAGGAACTTGAAAGACGGATTTATTTACGAAATTACGTGGCAAGCAAGCGACAAAGAAGCAGATTCAGAACCAGATGGCTTGAATCTTCTGAACGTTTGGCATTATCGCGCTACTGAATCCGAGTTGTCCGACTGGCAAAGGAACGATGGCACTATAAAATGGGCACCTGAAGTCGCAGTCCCTATACATGAAAGAAACAACGGCTATCAAAATGAAGGTTTCTTACACAACAAAAATCATCAATAGAATGTGGACATGTATAGTTCCAAGTACTAAAATAATGTGGGAGCATCCGTGCTATGCGGTAATAATACCTTGAAACCCGTTAAAATGACCCCTTAAAACTTTGAAAGCGAAAAAAACAATGCAAATGACGTGCAATCAGATGAATAAATTATGCATACTAGCAAATTACAGCCATGTAAGAAAGCTAACTGAGAACACGTAACAATTACCCAGCAAATGTATTTCGTCGATGATGATAAGAGCGACGCTTCGAACGTAACTTCTGGTCTGCCAGCTACGTGACATTACGTCCCACTTTTCAGGAGTTGTTACGATGATATCTGCGACAAGTAGCTCCTTCAGTTCAGGAGTAAAATCCCCCGTCACCTCCACAACCCTAAAAACAATAAACAGCTACTGATAGACAAAGCTTAATGAATTGAAAAAACCATTTTTATACCGAAGAATAAACGCTTTATTATTAACAGCTTTAAAAACGAACAACTACAGAGCTCTTCGTAAACTAACTTTGGCGTACCTGTCCGTAAAACAGGCGATGGCCAATACCCATTAATCAGCAACATTTACAACGGGATCATAGTAGAGCTTCGCAACTTCTCAACTGGTTTTACAAAGGAGGACATTGCGACTAAAAAGCAGAACGGAAGGACTGCGGAACACTGTCAGAAAAATTTCTGGTAATCACCACAGCCCATGATAGTTTTTGTAAAACATCAAAAATATACGATCATATGCTACGGCTTGCTAACAAATGCACAGTTCTAACAAAACCGAGTTTCATGACATGCTGCACCGCCATCCTGCCCGCAAATGCATGCGCAGCCATGGTCATGTCATGCAGACCAGACCATGGGCCCACGCAATGTGCACCCTACCAGTCGCTTTGGCATGCTACTTTCATCGACTTAGAACTGCGTTTGAGTTAATATAGCACCAAACGATGCAAAAGGTCTCAAAATGTTGCTTATACAACATCGCACTCACTTCGGAAAGAATGAAGTCACCACGATGGATCGGTAATCGATCTGTCTAGTTGGCACTGGCATCTTTGGTATAGGAAAAAATTTTCGCTATACGTCATCAGTCAGTGATGTGTTTGCAGCTAATGCAACAGTTGTACTAGTCTCCGGGGAGTTCATTTCTATATACGAGAAACCAGGGAATTCATTTCTGTAAAACAAAAAGACTCTTACTGTTACACCAGTAGGCTGTCAGAATTTAGGAAAATGATAGTCTATATCACAGCTGTACGCCCATGGACAAATGTGTGAACAGCATCAACTGCTGATGGTTGGCACCAATTGTTGCCAATCGAAGTTGCTATTGAATAACCTCGAAGTTAATACTGAAGGCAAAGTAACGATCGGCACTGTACATATGGCAGTCGCTGAAAGTTAAAACTGTGTCAATGGCCTCGTGATGTCAGGATTCATGGATCAGTAAGGCGCATGGCAGTAGCATGCCGAAAACATCTATTACCTACATAAGATTATCCACTTGTTGACGTAAGACTGAATATTAGTAGACAAAACAGCTGGGGAGAAGAATAGCTTTGGTGATACCTTTCTTTTAACCTGGAGTGCTTCCTCTGCAACGTCCACGGTGATTAAGTAAAGCATAACCTGCTAGCTGCTGCTTCATAAAAACGTTTACATGTTTCACCGAAGAGCGAAAGATGATGAAGCTTCATGACAATGCAATAAGTCATACTTCAAACAGTCAAATTCCTTACACGTATGTATAGTCGAACATATGAATTAACCGGTAGAAGTCATTAAGCGCTAGTTACACAAATAACATGCAAAGCACACCAATCACATCAATTTAGGTACATCGGTTGATCATCTCTATAGATGGTAGCAGCTAATTAGTTAAACAGGAGCATCGCCCTTCCGGTGACGTGACTTCGATAACCGGTTAAATATCAGAGTTAATGGAACATCCAATTCTACAGCATTCCGTCCGTACAAAATTCTTTCTTCTGTCAGGTCAGTGCTCAAATACAGCATGGAGACGGTTGTTCTAAGGAAACCCAGAACGACGGCTGAAAAAAGTCAAAAGTGCTGGAGTCGATGTATAATAATGGTTAAATGACAAGGTCATGATTCACTCTCTAGCACATGTATTGGCGGTAGATAGAAAAAGAGGTTGGCTGAGTGAAGAAAGTTGACTGAGCACAAATTCTTCACTCAACCTTGCAATCTTCTAATGTTGGAAACGACAAATGGCAGGCTTCAATTTGGTGGACAGCATGCAACACGGATCCACAGAACAGAGACAGGTCTCCGTTCAGAGGGAAGCGATTCTTGCTGCGACTTAAGAGTAAATGATTTAAAGTAGGTGTCACAGAGTTTATAATACAGCAGAACTTAGAAAGCAGAGAAGTTTTTCAAATGCAAATTGACAAAGAACTCAGCACCATAACAGATTACGGGACGGAAATTCCGACTGCACTCCAGAAATGCATTTTAAGTCATTTTACAGGGTACAGGAATACACTGTCATCATAGAGCCGGGGAGCATGAACCACGCGCTAAGAAACATAATTTTAGCGAAACTATGTAATTATTAACATACTCCGGCGTAAGAACCCATCTTTCTTGTTTCACAAGGCATACAGCGTACGATCAGTTCTTGAAGCATCACTGACGATAGCCAGGGTGATGTCCCAGACAAGAAAACAATGAGATCCTTCCATAAAATGAAACGAATTTTTAATGACATCAAAGTTGCAGGGGAGAAGGGATTTGTCATTTTTCATCTTGGCTTGCCACTTTATACTTTATTCCCTATATCCTCTACATGACACTGATGTCAACGTTTGCTTTCTTGAGAGCAAATCGCGTGCTTATTTCGATGAGGTTCAACAGCGAGGCTTTCCACCAAAAAAACAAACATACCGTTTGTTGAGTTTCTGTTCGAATCTTTCTTTCCAGTCCCTCATTCTCTCTTTCACCAACGCTTTCAGTGGGGCTATGTAAACGCACTAAAAGTAATCCAGTAGTTGGACAATGGGCAAGAAGATAATTCGGTGAAAAGCTGAGAAATAACAAGCGACTGGCCGCTTACTTTACGTTCAGGGGTTTGTCGCAGCACGCGGAACATCGCCAATTCGGCGGCGACTGTTTTACCTGTTCCCGTCGGTGCGCCAATCAACGCGTTTGAGTCAGTGTGGAACAAACAGAAAAACAGCTGTGTCTGGACAGCATTGAAGTGCGAAAATGTGTATAATGACTCCAGCGAACGGTCTCCGAGAGCTGACACGCTTAGCGGCTGCAAGTCCAGAAGCTCTGTAAAGAAAAGCATCAATTTTTGACAAATAAACAAGCGCACAAAGCATGACTGCACCGCCAGTGGTCCCAGGCCACCTGATGTGCGACTCTTATACACATTTTGATGAATGAAAATTTGCACTCTTTGACAAAATTTTGCAAACGCATAACAGTCCCTTTTTCTTGATTCCTAATGAATTTTACCAATTAAAACCGTCTAACTTTCATGAACTGACTGAAGTTCGTATGTTTTAGATTTACTTAGAGAAATTTAGTTCCTCCATAAATAATTACTTCATGAATAAATTCACTGTACTTAAGTATTCTTGTTGTGTGAATGGGGGGGGGGGGCGAAAAGATTTCACTACTCACAAATCCGCATATCCATACAAGAAGCACGGTTACAAAATACAAGTAAAATATTGTCATTGCGTGTTATCCATAACCTGCTTCATAAATCAGGTCCTCGACGTTCAACAGGAGCATGACGAATGGGATTACAGATGTTCTATGCATCTCAGCGCGACATCTGCATGATATACACGATGACTTGGTTTTCGGTGCATGATTCGCCAAAGATATAAATGTAAAAGGTACGTTGGGTCAGCATGAATCGCGTATTCGAGATGACCGCCTTTCGAACAAATTTTTAATTAGAAAAGCTCTGAACTCATTCGCGCTGGGACTGTGCAATCAGGACAGTAACTTTACTAGGCTTTGGAAGCGCGACAGCTATCTCCGGCCAATGGACAGAAGTAGATGGGGTAGCGTAGAATAATAAAGGCACTATGCAAGCATAATATGCGCACAGGGACAACAAACTGTACAGCCTGGGCAGGCAAGACGCAAAGAAGTTTTTGGTCACGGCGCTCTTCTGAGGTTCTCACCTGAAGCATTTATCAGAAAAGTCCCAAAATAGAATATTTCGCTCATGCGTTTATAGTCATACTGAAAAAAGTGCAAATCAGTTTGTTATATAAACAACGTGAAAAGCGATCAATCGGAATTAATTGATACCAATATGTTACCCACTGACCAGTATCGCTCAGTCTTCTGACTGACCATTTTTTGTACATTGAGTATAAAATAAACCGTTTTAATGCCATTTTCCAGCAGTGAGTCCCACGTGCTTTACAGCCGAAGTCGTGCTGAATGGTGTATATTGCGCGTACGGTTTCTACGAGCAGGTCAATGAGCGGTTCTTGAGAGTTCTTGCGCCGTGGAAAGCGCAGTATATACTTTGCTGCATTCAGCGCAAGGCCATTATCGTGCAGGCAATATTCAGCCTCATTGTAACAGGCACCAAATTCCGAGCAGTGGTCTGATGTGGGGCCTCACTAGGGCCAGAAATGCCGCGTCGCCAGCGTATTGTATGTAAAGGATGATGGTATGAATACTGCGACAACTGGTCGAGTAAAGGTCAAACAGAGAGGGCAAGAGACAAGATCCCTGCGCGATTAATCAAATAACGTGAATCAAATGTTGACACAAGTTTCCCTTTGACATTTGGTAGTGATCGGTACGGTCGAAGCCAAAATTTAACGGAAACGAAGAAGTCGGTTTGAAACCTAATTTCTCATTCAGTCGGTAGGCGGTATCGGTTTCCTCGAACCAAATGAAAAAGTCATCCTGCCGATCCGGATTGGCACCCGATTTGATAATCCATGCACTCGATTTTGATTTCAGAGATGACTAGCATCCATACTTGTTTGAAAAAATTTTTGCCTACAGCCGTAGTTAGCTATGCGAGCAGACATTCAGATTCAAGAAGCTCAACAGAATAAGGACTAAACAATGAAGTCTGATCGACGAGCATAAATTACACTCAGTGATTGACCACTAAAAATCAGATCCAGATATTTGGCTATTTCAGGAATGATGATATTAATTTAACAGTACAACCGCACCTACTTCACTGGATATGTTATTCAGCTTTATATGATTGACAAACTCTTGTACATTATGAAATGCAGCTTCAGTGCAAACAGAAGAACGACTAGTAGAAAAACGACTTGACCAATTCAGCGATTTGATCTACTGATGATGCCTGAAACGCTAAAAGGTCATAAACCCGTCATAATAACCCATAAACAAATTTATTCAATTTTATTGCATGGCGACCTTTTGCTCATCGTCCGCAAATCAGCTAGTTAATTTTAAAAAAATATCTGTGCTTATTTATTCTTGTTTGTTGAATTTTCAGTTTAAAACCAGAATTTTGAGCTTGCATCGGGTCGTGGAAAAGACTCTTTATCAGTAAGACGAATATATCTTTGAACGAATCAATTTCACATCGGTCGCTAAAATGGATCAGTATCGCTCTTGACCGGCAAAACGTTACGGGCGCATCTTTATGTTACAGCCAAGGAAATAAAAATAGCTTACTTGTATTGGATGGAAAGCTTTTGGGCAAAATTAAAGCATCGAAAGACAGTGGAAGCGTGTCTTCGCTTCCGAGCCAAGAATCTGACTGCCAGTGGACGTAGTACTGATTGGGAAGCGGTTCAGAAACTGGGATCGTGAATATCAGTCGCTGAGGTTCCTTGCTTTTCGCCTAAAGCAGTGAGACAGTGAAATCTGAAAGCAAGTATCACTGGCTTTCGCCACCTAACGTACTTGTTTCTGCGGCATAACGAAGCGCTCCCGGTGGTAGATATTATTCGAGAGAGGATCTACTATCCAAATATGGAAAATACATGGTGCATTCGAAAGTAAATGTCGGTCCCAAACAAAATCCGCGGAGATATTAAGCACAATTCGCAAGACTGTACGAGTGATAGGCTGTACATTCGATTCGATTTTCAAAAACGGCAATTTGTTCGTGAAACTCTTTAAATACTCGCCATCATCCCTTAGCAACTGTGCTAAAATATCGAAACTATCATTAGGAAAAGCACATGCAGGAAAGTTACTACGTACAAATTTCTTTCGATGTCAAGTCTTTTATGCGATCTAGCGTCAAGTTCATCTTTTCTAACTTCTCCAGTGTTTCGTGTTTTATGAAGCCACGAAACTGCTTCAGCGGGTTCTGAAAAAACCACATCTCGTGTTCGACGGCTTTGCACAATCGCAGAAGCGTAGTTGCCACCATAGCCCAGCCTTTCTGTAGCGCAATTTCGAAAAGTGCACGAAGAAGTCGTTTACAATTCTAAACAAATACTTTCTGACTCATAATACAACAGCCAATGATCAACTTACATCAACGACATAATTCTCGTCGGCAGAAAGAGAAAAAATACCTGGGTGGTAATTCGATAAATAGGACTGCAGAAGGATATTAACCTTGCCACTGATGTCCTCGCAGCCATGAGCAACAGGCATGACGCACGTTCGCTTGTCATTCGCCATGAAGTCAAGCTCCGAAATTTCTTCCTGACGCACCTTAAAGTTTGACGGTCAGAAAACAGAAGTTTCTGAACTTTTAAGCAAAAAAGAATGAACTATCAACATACTTCGCATCAGGACATGTCTAAAGTGAAATTTATTAAAGTTGATGCCCGATGTCAAATTTACGTCCAAAGGGAAATAAAAGAATATATTACGACAGATTAAGACCAAGAACCACTTTTCTTCGACTTTTAGAAAATTTTGTGCTCTGACGAAGCATGGCACACAAAATTAATATGAAATTGTGTGCATGACTGTAGGAAAATTTTGAACCTTTAGACGACCAAAGCATAAACTTAATTCGCAAATTTTCAAAGACTTGTGTTTGATCCGGATGAAACCGTATCATATACTGGGTAAAGTTCGCGGCATAAAACAAAAGTCAAAACGTCTGGCGTACGATGTATTTCCTGGCTTTGTGTGTCATTCACTTAGAATCACTTTATGACCAGCAGGATTCTAACAGTAGAATATCTGAAAAATTCACCGTTGTCCCTTCCTCTTTTAAAGACATAAAACCAGGTTAGGCAAAGGTCATCATGTTTCTTTGGATAGATCTTGATTGATGTCAGCATCCATTCGTTCGAGACCCTGTGACGTCGCATTTTGAGTATATTTTGCAAAGGGCACTGCTGTAATTGCTAGATTACCTTTCTATCCAAGGGTACAGACGCTTCCAGACAGCACAAAAGCGTCAAGAATTTGACTGGCTTTGATGATGGTATTCTTACTTCCGTTTTTACACGATGATCTTTCAATATTTCGTGCAGCTTTGTATGTTCTCTTATAGCAGTCCCACGCCTCCAATCACTTCCGAATCACATCCAACGTTATTAACCAACACTGCTCTAATATACTAAAAATCGTCTATCTTCTACACTGCTCTGCTATTCCACGTATCCCCCATCTGTTGATTGCGAGCTTTCATTACCAGTCTGTTTCATTCTGACATGTAAGCCTACTTCCACGGAGTGAAGCACACTTTCAGTGAATGTAAACAGACCATTGGCAGAATATTTCAAAAGCACAATATAATGCCATAATCAGGGTCAGTTAGTAGTACACTGGGATCCCTAAAAGATGTTGAATTCTTACAGGGATTCAAGATGGTGTCATTTTGCATCACTGTACCTACTGAACTTAATAACATGCGAAATGGCAACTCACTTTGACGAATTACATTCTTGATTAAACAGTCTGATAGCGACCTTTCAAGTTTGACTGTGAATTTTAACTATGCATATAGACTTTCTATCGCTTTTACTATCACCTGTAGATTTATAAAGCAGCATTTTTACCTGATATTGTCTGGTGATGCAGTGAATCGCATACAACACCAAATGACATTGAATCTTGATGATCATAGAAACGGCATGGTTTTCAGCCCTTACAGGCTTGAACCAGAGCATCACATGCATACCAGCACAGCAACTAGTAAATTTCAAAACAAATTTCCGAAATATAAAAAAGCCCACTCAAACAGTGGGGAAACCGATTAATCAGTTAGAGTCAAAAAAGAAAGTCAACCTTTCTGAAATAAACTTGTAATTTTTACTGATGACGTGGATATTTAAAGCGAGGAAAGGGACAGTATCTCCCGATTTCGTGGACAGCTGTACGAATACCAACAAAAGAAAGTTTTCGTCATGAAAAACGCTTAGGCCATTATTATACGTTTTGTGACAATCTGCGAGAGAACGCATCCTTTCGCTACTATACTACCGGAAAAATGTAAAATTTTTCATGTAAGCAGTATAGCTACCATTTGTCTGAGACAATTGGTCTGTCAGGCGTAACTGCAAAATTTCATGGTATTTATATAGCATACATTGCAGGAAAGAACACTCCGCTCAGCGCACGGTTAAAAGATTATCACTGATATCTCATTCACGACAACTGACACAAACGTCTATCAAATTGTCTTGTTCGAGTTACTCTATTTATAGCCACAACACGACATCAAAAAGTTCATGCGCCAGAGTACGCCAAATAACGCAGAATTCCTCTAAGACCAGATGTCATGGCGCATTGTACCTGGAGCATTAAAGCAGGCCACAGTCCCATGTTATTGAGCACCTACAAAGTCAGATGCATCTCACATCATATCGTTCGCTAGAGCCATTTCGTGACATTACGAACGGCATTTCAGGAGCTGGCGATCCATACACGCGACCGCATAAACATCAAAGTAAGTCCATCCGTCGGAGAATGTCAAAAAATGCATAACACGTCAAAGACCATACTTCACACTGTACTGTACCTCCTTGTCGCTCCTATACCAGACGGAGCATTTACGCTGCAACGAGGCTTTAACGAATCAAATGATGCCAGATGCATCTGGCAGCTGTGGCTTGCTTAAATAACCTCCAAGATAATTAGGACCCAAGGGAGCGATCCCACACAACGGAAATTTAACATTGGAAGAGTTGTGTTAGTAACAAGATAACATCTTCATCTTCATCTACATCTTTCATCGCCGCTTCTCCTTTCGGGTCGCGGAGGCAGACGCGCCAGACAATGCTTCCAACGTTCCCGATCC